GCCCCCGTTTATTTTTTAAATCGTTAACATACACGCCATTAAACGCACCCGGAATCCAGCTCTGTGTCCTCACTGGAGCCCAATCTTCCTGCTGTGAAGTCGTCTTGATGGCCACTTTGTCCATAGACAAGCACTAAGAGGGGTAGCGATGCACTAAGGACATACAGTGCAGGCGCTCCTCCTGCCGCAATACGCCAATCCAATGTATTTCTATGAGACCCACTGCATGCGCACATCAAACAACAAACACTTTCAGTTATTTATTCTGTTGGAAGCCAATGGTGGCTCTGTGTCCATCACCAGGGGTGTGCGGAGTGCAAAATGTAAAGGGCTTAGCATTAACCAAGACAACATGTAATAAATCACAGAAGCCAGGAGCCGATCCACTCGCAATCTATTGGCGGAAATCGTCAGCTGACCACGCTGAGTCAGTAAATAGCACACAATGTATGTAGTAACAACCCCTGGATATTGGGCTTAGGTAACATCCCCAGGACGTACTTACAGAAGTACCAGAGTAATCTGAATGTGCCTTTCCTAGTTAAATACATTATTATTATTATTATTATTAGCCGGCCTGGGAGTCTTGTTCCAGACGGGCCGATTACTCCTCTATGACACCATGCGAGAGGTAGAGTTACTGTAAAGGGGTTAAACTCCATACATGGAACGCTGCACATACACACTCCAGGCACCATCACCACTTCATATTACTGAAAGTGGTCATGGTGCTTGGAGTAAACCTTTAAAATGTAAACAGCAGCGATTCTCACAAATGGTACTGTTTCCATTTTCAAGGCTGCAGGGGCAGTATCTACTTTGCAATAGCTTAATTAAAGGGACGCTGTAGGCTCTATAACTGTTTTAGCTCATTGAAGTGGTTATATTGCCTGGACTTCCCTGGTGCCATTCTAACATTCAGTGTTAATCACCTTTTAAGGTTTTAATACTAAATGACAGCCCCCAGTAGCCCATCCCCTCTGTGCTGCTTGTGTTAATGAGAAAGTATTAGTCTGAGCAGCAATGGACGGCTGTGATTGAAGCGCCAGGGGACTCCATGCACTATAACCACTTAAATAAGATGGAATGGTTTAACATTGAATGGAGGAACAGCGTCAGGGGACTCCAGGCACTATAACCACTTTAATGGCCATTGGAGGGAATGCCCGCCTGCCAACGTCAAGGCAGACCCCCCTAAGTGGGTCCTACACTGACCCTTTACCTTGCTTCCTTGAGCTTCTGGCAGAGATATTTCTAATGAGACAGAGAGGGGTATTTTTTATATACACCCCTATATACTTATTAGCCCTTAATAGGGAACACATGGGATGGGCGGCAGCATTGTAACAAGGCTGTGTGATACAAAGTAAATACAAAAAGAGAAATCCTGCACTCACTCCCATCACTACTGGGCCGGCAGCAACGACTAAAGTACACATCAGCCCCAATATTTAGTAAAAACCAAAGGAAAAAAGTTACCTGAGCTCTCTCCTTAACCCCTTAAAACCGGAGGACGTACAATTACGCCCTCTAATAGGCGGCTCTAAACGCCGCCGGGCGTAATTGTACCCCCTCCGGTTTGATAACTACCGATTACGCCCGTAGGTCCCCGCCTTGGCGTCAGCGGTGAGGAGACTTGGGGAGCCCCAGCGGCACATCCGTCCTCGTCCCGAAGCCCCACGGCCATGTGAGAGTGGGGTCCTGGCCGGGGCCCACAATCCACATGGCGAGGATAGCTGGCTTCTGTATTGCCGGCAGGGGGGCTGCCTGTAATGACAGGTGGTCCCCCTGCTGGCTGAAAATAAAATAAAAAAAGTTAATGGTGTAAAAAATAATAATTATATATACTTAGATCATATATATAAATTATATATATATGATCTAAGTATATATATACACATATACATACACACACATACACCGTCTAGGTGTATTTTACTATTAATATATATATAATTATATATATATATTAATATCAAATTACACGTAGACTGATACTGATTAAATATATATATAATTATTGTTATATATATATTTATATATAATATAAAAATGTAAATACGTTAAAAAATAAAATTTAAAAAATAATTAAAAATAAATAATTAAAAAATATATAGATGTGTGTTATTTCGTTCTAACTGTTTTGTGAAATTAATATATATATATATATATATCAAAATACACGTAGAACGAAATATATATATATCTATATACATAAATATATATACGTATATATCACTATATATATACCTATATATAAATAAAAATATTTAAAAAAAATTATATAGATATATACATATATACACATATATATATATATACATATATTAATTCTACATATATATTTATGTAATATTTTTACATAATTAGGTATCTTAATTAATTAAGATGCATTTTTTGCATTTTTCACACAAACAGATACGAACGCTAACTTTGGCCAGTGTTTGTGACCAAATGGCTACTAAAAAAGACTGGACATACCCCATTTGCAATACCTTGGGTTGTCTACTATTGCAAATGGTATGCCATTATGGGTGTAAATTTCATTCCTGGGCTACTATACAGTCTCAAAGGCAACGTAACCAATCTGGCCAATTTCAATTTCAAATGTAACGTGCTATATTTGACCCTGTAACTTCCCAAAACGCCATAAAACCTGTACATAGGGGGTACTGTCTTACACGTGAGACTTTACTGAATACAAATATGTGTATTTTATTGCAGTAAAAGCAAACAGTATTATGACATTGACGTTAAAATGTCATGTAGAACTAAAAAAAAAAAAAAACGTATTTTCTCCCATTTTTTCATATTAAATTATGTTTCATAGCTAAATATTTGATATTAAATGAAAGCCCTGTTTCCCCTGAATAAAATGATATATATAATAAGGGTGGGTGCATTTACTATGAAAGAGGTGTATTACGGTTGGACAGACATGTAGCGCAAATGCCAGGTTTTGTTTACATTTTGTTTTTTTCACAATGTGTACATTTGGCTCCGTGCTTAAGGGGTTAATCCCCTTGTATATTTAAACAAATGGAGGTCATTTAGTTACTCCAATGGCCACTGGAGGGAATGCTCGCCTGCCAATGTCAAGGCAGACCTCCTTAGACGGGTCCTACTCTGACCCTTTCACCTTGCTTCCTTGAGCTTCTGGCAAAAATATCTCTAATGAGACAGAAAGTACCCTGAGTACCCTCCGTTGACGGATGCTCCTAGTGCTTCCTGAGGACTCCAAGCGCTGCAGCAGACACCACAACCACCGCAGACTCCGCAACCACCATATCTTGACTGGAGTCTCGCCGTCTTCTTTCCACCCTGGATCAACTTCTGTCCTCGAGGACTGTGTGGGAAAGAACTCTGCCTTCCACCCTGTATGAACCTCCAGCATCCAGGACTGTGTGGTGAAAACCCCTCCTCCAAGGAGAGCGTGTCAGGAACAAGCTTTTAAAAGAGCTAAGTGATTCAAGCTCAGACAAGCATGCATAGCAATCCCCAGTGTGATTATAACGGCTCCCTCCAATAACGAGACAAGGCTACATTTGAGGGATCAAGAAGAACTGTCAAAACCTTTATTTCCCTTGGGACCAGCCAATAGGGTCACCACAATAACATTGTTGTGAAACCTCAATAAAATCACAAACAGTCAAACCATATCAAGCAACACACAGTGACTTATCACAACACAATGGCACATTTTTAAAGGGGTGAGGGAGACAATATTTAACAGTAAATATCTCACCTGCCTGCAGAATTAGCAATATGCAAATCTACCCGAACATGCAAATGAACCAGTCTTGCAATTCAGGTAGTGCATATTGCTGTTGCTACCAACAGAGGGCACTAGACAAGCTCCATAGCCAAACCCACCTAGTTGGTAGCAAACCTCAGCAATACAAGAGAGCAGGCAATACATTACACAGTGCACACACACACACACTATAAACAATTACATTACACACACCCTGCACCTATAATGGGTACAGGGTGACTAAAACATAAGATAAATAAAGCAGCCTACATAAATAGTCTGTCTGAAGGTAGACTGGGGGCTTTAAAGCCAGATACCTGAAAGAGTCATAGTCACAGGGGAGGAGGCTGGCAAGCAGGCCTCTCCAGGACCAAGTGGCGAAGGGCACTTCATCACAGGGTATTTTTTATATACATCCCTATATACTTGTTAACCCTTAATAAGGAACACATGGGATGGGCGGCAGCATTGTAACCTAGCTGTGTGATACAAAAAGTGAATACAAAAAGAAAAGTGTACTGTGGTCATTGCTGCTGCCCAGGGGTGATGGGAGTGAGCACAGACTTCTCTTTTTGTCTTCACTATAACCACTTTAATGAGATGGAATGGATATAATGTATACAGCATACCTCCCAAGTGTCCCCGTAAATCTATGAGAAATGTTGGGGGGCGTAGTTACTGTGTCTAAACATTAAACTGTACTTTAAATCTTTATTTTCAGTTACTGGCTATATACCTATTATTCCCACTATCTGAGGTAGGTCACAGTGGGGAGGGAGGGGGCAGGTAGGTCCCTGTGGGGGGGGATCAGGTAGGTCCCTGTGGCTGGGGGATCAAGTAGGTCCCTGTGGGGGGGATCAAGTAGGTAGGTCCCTGTGCGGGGGATCAGAAGCATGGTCCCTGTGGCTGGGGGTCAGGTAGGTCCCTGTGGCTGGGGGTCAGGTAGGTTCCTGTGGCTGGGGGTCAGGTAGGTTCCTGTGGCTGGGGTCAGGTAGGTTCCTGTGGCTGGGGTCAGGTAGGTCCCTATGGCTGGGGTCAGGTAGGTCCCTGTGGCTGGGGTTAGGTAGGTCCCTGTGGCTGGGGTCAGGTTAGGTAGGTCCCTGTGGCTGGGGTCAGGTAGGTCCCTCTGGTTGGGGTCAGGTAGGTCCCTGTGGCTCAGGATTGGGTAGGTCACTGTGGGGGGTAGAGTAGGTTCTTGTAGCTACAGGGTCAGGTAGGTCCCTGTGGCTGGGGTAAAGTAGGTCACTGTGGCTGGGGTCAGGTGGAGTCTGCTGTGGCTGCAGGGTCAGGTTAGGTAGGTCCCTGTGGCTGGGGTCAGAGTAGGTCCCTGTGGTTGGGGTCAGGTAGGTCCCTGTGGTTGGGGTCAGGTAGGTCCCTGTGGTTGGGGTCAGGTAGGTCCCTGTGGCTGGGGTTAGGAAGGTCCCTGTGGCTGGGGTCAGGTAGGTCCCTGTGGCTGGGGTCAGGTAGGTCCCTGTGGCTGGGGTTAGGTAGGTCAGTGTGGCTGGGGTTAGGTAGGTCCCTGTGGCTGGGGTAAGGTAGGTCCCTGTGGGAGGGGGAGTAAGGTAGTTCCCTGTGGCTGGGTCAGGTAGGTTCCTGTGGCTGGGGTTAGGTAGGTCACAGGGGGGGGTGAGGTAGGTCCCTGTGGCTGGGATTAGGTAGGTCACTGTGTGGCCGGGGGGTGAGGTAGGTTCCTGTGGCTGGGGTCAGGTAGGTCCCTGTGGCTGGGGTCAGGTAGGTTTCTATTGCTGGGGTCAGGTAGGTCCCTATGGCTGGGGTCAGGTAGGTCCCTCTGGCTGGGGTCAGGTAGGTCCCTGTGGCTGGGGTCAGGTAGGTTTCTATGGCTGGGGTCAGGTAGGTTCCTATGGCTGCAGGGTCAGGTAGGTCCCTATGGCTGGGGTCAGGTAGGTCCCTGGCTGGGGTCAGGTAGGTTTCTATGGCTGGGGTCAGGTAGTCCCATGGCTGGGGTGGGTAGGTCCTGGCTGGGGTGAGGTAGGTTCTTGTGGCTGGGGTCAGGTAGGTCCCTGTGGCTGGGGTAAGGTAGGTCACTGTGGCTGGGGTCAGGTAGGTCACTGTGGCTGGGGTCAGGTTAGGTCCCTGTGGAGGGGTGAGGTGGGTCCCTGTGGCTGGGGTCAGGTAGGTCCCTGTGGCTGGGGTTAGGTAGGTCCCTGTGGCTGGGGTTAGGAAGGTCCCTGTGGCTGGGGTTAGGAAGGTCCCTGTGGCTGGGGTCAGGTAGGTCCCTGTGGCTGGGGTCAGGTAGGTCCCTGTGGCTGGGGTCAGGTAGGTCAGTGTGGCTGGGGTCAGGTAGGTCCCTGTGGCTGGGGGTAAGTGGGTCCTGTGGGAGGGAGTAAGGTAGTTCCCTGGCTGGGTCAGGTAGGTTCCTGTGGCTGGGGTTAGGTAGGTCTGGGGGTGAGAGTAGGTCCCTGTGGCTGGGATTAGGTAGGTCACTGTGGGGGTGGGGGTGAGGTAGGTTCCTGTGGCTGGGGTCAGGTAGGTCCCTGTGGCTGGGGTCAGGTAGGTTTCTATTGCTGGGGTCAGGTAGGTCCCTATGGCTGGGGTCAGGTAGGTCCCTCTGGCTGGGGTCAGGTAGGTCCCTGTGGCTGGGGTCAGGTAGGTTTCTATGGCTGGGGTCAGGTAGGTTCCTATGGCTGGGGGTCAGGTAGGTCCCTATGGCTGGGGTCAGGTAGGTCCCTGTGGCTGGGGTCAGGTAGGTTTCTATGGCTGGGTCAGGTAGATCCCTATGGCTGGGGTCAGGCAGGTCCCTGTGGCTGGGGGTCCAGGTAGGTTCTGTGGCTGGGGGGTCAGGTAGGTTCTGTGTGGCTGGGGGTCAGGTGATGGGGTTCCTGTGGCTGAGGGTCAGGTAGGTTCCTTGTGGCTGGGGTCAGGTAGGTCCTGTAGCTGAGGTCAGTTAGGTCCCTGTGGCTCAGGTCCAGGTGATGAGTCCCTGTGGCTGGGGTTAGGTAGGTCCCTGTGGCTGGGGTCGGGTTAGGTAGGTCCCTGTGGCTGGGGTCAGGTAGGTCCCTCTGGTTGGGGTCAGGTAGGTCCCTGTGGCTGGGGTCAGGTAGGTTCCTGTGGCTGGGGTCAGGTAGGTTCCTGTGGCTGGGGTCAGGT